AATGTTTGACTTTTTTAAATTCAAAAACTGAAGATCAGACTGATTTGTGAACAAAACTTGCACCGGACTCCCAAATCGGACTGCTTTTTATGAACTTTCTGACCAAAATCTGAAACTCAAATATTTCAAAATTAGAATTACAAAATGAAAATGAACAGAGAACCTAAACCACTCAAACTGAGAGTCAGATTGTTGATAATGTCATTAAAGACATGTGACCTGGTTCCTGACTGACTGAAGTTTGGCAGCAAACATCTGATTATTCTGGTCTAGTTGAACTCTACCCGAGTGGTTATTCTTTTCTTAGCCAGCCCCGGGGTTCTGGTCGTGGTGGAGGCCTAGCTGTTGTTTTCAGAGACCATCTTCCATGAGTCATGTTTGGGGGAAGGCGTCTAACCCAAGACATGCAGAACACACCACAGACCAAGAATGGGGTAAAAATAAAAAAATAATACATTTACTGAGAAGAAAACTGAGGATGCACAGAATTGTCTGTGGCTGGTAAAGCTACAGGAGCTCTGCGTCTGGAGGAGGGAGAACACTGGTGAGCAAAAGTTTAGTTCCTGAAGTCCATTTCTAGTTAGAGTAGTTCAGCAGAACTTACAGTAGGATGTGAGTTGCTGGCTGGAGGAGGGAGCAGGTTGAAAGCCAGGGGAGCGCAAGAGAGGGAGCACAAGTGGAGATAAGCGGGGCGTCCTGGTGGATGGGGACACGGAGAGTGATGCCAGAGGAGTTATAGAGATTGGTGAGTGGGTCAGTGTTCTGAGTATCCAAAATCCTGGAGTCCTGAGGTAAGTATCCAAAGCTTTGCGACCAGAGAACAAACACAGGAATCCTGAAGGAGGGAATAAATCCAGAGTCAGCTCCTGGCGGTTAGCAAAAATTCCACAATCTAAAATGCCTAGAGCAAAAACACTACAAGTAACATTAATCCTAGAGATCCTAGAGATAAACTCGAGTGGCTGGGTACTACCAAGCTGAGGCAATCTTCCGGCGTTGGATTGTGTCCTCAAACACCCCGCTGATTGCTGATCAGGAACAGCTGGGCACTTCCTCTCCTGGCAAGAGACTCAAAGTTGTTAAGGTGAATGAGGAGTACTCACCCCGGCTCATGACACCATGTAGCTCTACAACCTCTGGTTGCTTTGCTTCCTTTGAACTGCAGCTGATTAAAGTCGGGCGTAAGGACCCGTTCTACTGTGCTGTGGTCTATCATCCACCTGGTCCAAATAGTTCTTTCCTTCAGGAGTTTAGTGACTTTCTATCCTCCACTGTGAAGCTGTCCAGACTGGTGATTGTTGGTGACTTTAACATCCACGTTGATGATCCATCTGATCACTTTGCCATGAATTTCTCCAGCCTTATGGACTCCTTCAGCTTTACCCAGCATGTTTCTGGCCCCACACACACCAGGGGGCACACTCTAGACCTTGTTTCAGGGGCGTGTCCAGGCAGTGGCCTGGGGTGGCACATGCCACCCTTGGAATCTGATTGGCCACCCCAGGTGCCACCACACTAATTTACTTTTAAATAGGCTTTTCATTGTCCACAAAAGGCTTGGGGGTAAAACAAAAAAAAGCATTACCATTGGTGCCACCCATGCACAAAGCTGTGCCTCACCTGGGCCACCCCATTTTAAAAGATCTGGACACGCCACTGCCTTGTTTTTACCCTGGGTCTAAATGCTGGCAGTGTTTGTCCTGAGGACGTTTATATTTCAGATCACCATTGCATTTTCTTTAACTTGACAGTTTCTGCATCCCCACCTCCTGCTCGCCGTATGGTTAGTTCTCATTTTCTTAATGAGAGCACAGCTAGCTATTTTTCTGCTGCTTTTGATCCACCCTGTTCTTCTGATAACGACCCAGATTCCTTAACTTCTCAGTTTAACGAGCACTGCCTCTCCATTCTGGACAACATCTGTCCTGTCAGAACCAGATCAGTTCCTGCAGTGAACCCTACTCCCTGGTTTAATGACAGCCTTCGCAGCCTGAAGTGCCAATGCAGAAAAATTGAGAACTTGTGGAAGAAAACCCATCTCCATGTCCATCTGCTGCACCTAAAGGATCTTCTGACATCCTTTAACTCTGCAGTCAGAGATGCTAGGGTTTCCTATTTCTCCAACCTGGTGTCCCAGAGCAAAGGGAACCCCAAGGTGTTGTTTAACACCATCAGCAGCATTGTCTCTCCTGCCTCTCCTACAGCCTCCATCCATTCTGTTACAGACTGTGAGAACTTTCTGTCTTTCTTTGTGGTCAAAGTCAATAAGGTTAGATCTAGCATCTCTCCTTCAGCCTTATCGCCGCCTCTCCCGACTCCTACCAGGCCCATCATCCTAGATAGCTTTGCTCCTGTTTCTTTGCCTGAGTTAACCAAACTAGTTAACTCTATGAAGACCTCTGCATGCCCCCTCGACATCTTACCCTCATCTTTGTTTAAAAGTGCTTTTCAGTCCATCGGTCCCAGCGTGCTCTCCATTATTAATGCTTCTCTGGTTTCTGGTCAGGTCCCTGCTTACTTTAAGAACGCCGTAATCCACCCGCTTTTTCAAAAACAGAGTCTCGACCCCTCTCTCCATAGCAGCTTCAGACCCATCTCTAAACTTCTGTTCATCTCCAAGATCTTGGAAAAGGCTCTGGCCAAACAACTCACAGCTGCTAGCTTGCAGTCAGGTTTTCGTAGAGCTCATTCTACTGAAACAGCTCTTCTTAGGGTCTCTAATGACCTTCTGATGCACAGTGATGCAGGGGACTGTTCTGTTCTGGTCCTACTGGACCTGACTGCAGCCTTTGACACTGTTGACCATCACCTGCTACTGGAGAGGCTGAGAGACTGGGTAGGCCTATCAGGAACTACTCTGGAGTGGTTCTCCTCTTATCTCTCTGAGCGCTCCTTTTCTGTGGCCGTCTCCAAGTTTAGGTCCTCCACCACCCCCTTGCCCATGGTGTCCCACAAGGTTCTGTGCTGGGGCCTCTGCTCTTCCTCCTCTATCTGCTCCCTCTTCAGCACATCCTGAGCTCCTTCAAAGGAATGTCCTACCATCTTTATGCAGATGACATCCAACTGTACATCTCCTTTAAGCCCCATGAGATGTCTAAGCTGCAGCTGTTACACACCTGCTTAGACTCTATCAAAACCTGGATGGTGGGAGCTTTCTACAGCTGAATGAAGATAAGACTGAGATCCTCATCTGTGCCCCAGACAACCTGGTTCCCAAAGTCAGAGATTCTCTTGGGCAGCTTGCTTCTCACACCAAACCCTATGTCAGGAATCTGGGACCTTAGACCCAGCTCTCAACCTGGATTCTCATGTCAGTTCTCTTGTTTGCTCTTCCTTCTTCCATCTCAGGAACATTGCAAAGCTGAGTCCCATTCTGTCTCACTCTGAACTTGAGACAGTTATCCACACCTTCATCTCCTCACGCTTAGACTACTGTAACTCTCTTTTCACGTGTCTGAGCAGAACCTCCCTGAACCGTCTACAGGTGGTTCAGAATCCCTGTGCTCAGCTTCTGACCAAGTCCTCCAAACACACCCACATCCCCCCGCTTCTCCTCCAGCGTCACTGGCTGCCAGTCAACTTCAGGGTTAATTTCAAGATCCTGGTTCTGGTCTGTAGGGCCTTATATGGACAAGCATCATCTTACATTGGTGATCTTCTTAGTCCCTACACCCCCAGCAGGTCCCTGAGGTCCAGTGATCAAAGCCTACTGGTTGTGCAGCACCAGGCTAAAGACCAAAGGTGACAGATCATTTGCTGCTGTGGCCCCCAGACTCTGGAACTCTCTCACCCTGAGCCTGAGATCAGTGGACTCAGTGGTCTCCTTCAAAAAGCAGCTGAAGACTCACTTGTTCAAGCTGGCTTTTGTATGAACTTCTTCACCCCTCTCTTTATTCTGCTCTCCCCACCTATTCCACCTTCCTCAGGATCCACTGATTTACCTCTTTCCTACTCACTCTCTCTCTTTCTTAACATTTTTAATCACAACTGTCTATTTTTTGCCCATTTTAAATATATTTTAAACCATTTTTTAAATTATTTTTTATATTTTTACATTTTTTGTTTTTGTGAAGCGCCTCGTGATTTTTATCTTGAAAGGCGATATAGAAATGATGTCTTCTTCTTCTTCTTCTTCTTCTTCTTCCTGCAGGTCAAAAATCACCAACTAAAACCCTACAAGGGCACTGAACCGGGACATTTAAAGTCAGATGTGCTGAAACTTATGAACCAACATGAATGATGTATGTGAGGTGAAACCTTTTGTGACCCCGCCCCTCCCCGTATCTTCTTTATGTCCCACAGCAGCCATCGTCTTAGCAATCAGGTTCTGTTGCTCTTCCCTCTCTGCTGCTTGATTCTGAAATGACCCACATGTCAGCTGTTCTGCTTCATGCTCTAGTTGCACACAAAACTAGTCTTTTATCTGAATATCAGCTGCAACAGTTTGACACTGATCTGCACTTTAACCATCTCAAATGTAATGTTCAGATTTTCACCCGTGATCACTCGTGTCAGTCATGTTCCTTTGCACCTTTTCGGTCCACTTGTTTTACTTTTCTGGACCTCTTCCTCTTTTGCATTTTACCTAAAATATCACATCTGACATCACGGTTTAGGCTCTGTTAAATAAACCCCCTGACTGCCTCACACTTGACACACGGCTGTGATGCCATCTCTAGGAACCTGAAGAGCTGTTTATCTGCATGTAATCAGATCAGAGGCTCTTTAAAGGAATCAGTTCTCATTCTTCGGTTTACTGACAACATCAGACGTATCTCTGCGGAGCCGTTGAGTTTAACTCCACGCTGATAGTTCAAATGTTTCCAGGAAACATTAAAGTGTCAGTTAACTTTAAAATTAGCTGTATTTTATTTTTTGTTGTTGTTTTCTGTAACTTGGCAAACGTAAGATGATGTTTTCAGAGAAGCGTGCCTGTCTTGCAGCTGGATCTTTTCAAAATCTGGGAAAGTTTTCTGCACAAAGTTTAAACACACAGTAACTTGTATGAACAATAATTTATTAGTGAATTAAACAACAATGCACAAACCACACACTGCATGTTTGAACCTTTATGGTAACAGTCTGCAGACGTTCAGCACATAAACATGAACTGAATTCAAATGTAATGAATAGAAACGAATCTGAACAGTTTTAGTCTTTTGATTCATAGAAACCGTTGCTCATTTTCACCATAACATGGGACCCCAGGCGCCGCTGTAGTCCCACAGGTAGGGTCTGCACTGATACGCTTTACAGAAGGAGCTTATTAACGAAGATCTGATCAAGTCCTCCCTTAAGCCTGGTCCATCTGCGCCATACGCATCCTTACAGTTCTCTGATGTCTGCTGCCTTCGTTTCGTTTTGTACCGCCGGTTCTGGAACCAGATTTTTACCTGGGTCTCAGTCAGTCTCAAGGCACTGGCCAGGTGAGCCCTCTCCGGGGCCGACAGGTACTTCTGGTGGTTAAATTTCTTCTCCAGCTCCAGCACCTGGAAGTGTGTGAAGGCAGCTCTTGAGCGCTTTTGTTTTCCCACAGAGGAAAAGCCTGACTCTGAGGAGTTGGGACAGGATGCGTGGGACTCTGAGAAGTGAAGGACAGTGTGATGTTTCAGTTGCAACTTTTCACAGTCCAACCTTATTCAGTTTTGGATTATAAGCTTAAATTCCAGTTTTCAAGCATTTAAAGACACAATACGTTTGTTGCATTGCTGAAATTCAATCATTCAGAATCTCACCTGTCTGCATTCCAAACACTGACTCCCGACGACGAGGTTGTTCTGACCACTTCCCAGACTCCTCCGTCCTCTGAGAACATCTGTCTATCTTTGGCGAGCAGCATTTCCCATCCAGTGGTGCTCCAGCTTTACTGGACAAGATGTCCTCGATGAGGAAAGACCTCACAGGCTTGGATGTGCCGGACATTTCCATTATGTTTGCACCAGAGGTGCAGCCGAGGAAGCGTGTGTGTGTGTGTGTGTGTGCTCACACACTCGGGTTTGAATTTATGTGGAGAGTAGGGGCGGGTTCATTCAGACAAAAGTAAAGGAGGCGGGACAAATCTGCCCAATTTTTCTTCAGATTAACTTGATATAAACCGCTGAGATTAAATTTATCATAAAAAATGCATTCTGTTTTTATTTGTTGCACATTTTGTGGATCATAATTGATGTTCTATGTTTATAACATGCCTTCTTTCAGAGTGTTTATGATAAATTTATTTACACGTTAAAACTAGTCAGCACATATTCAATATGATAGCAGCTCCTTTATTTTATAATAAATAAACTCTTTAGAAGAAAACTGGACAAATAAAAGATTTACTGCAAGAATCTGAGCGAAAAATTATGATGGAAATAGCTGATATTCACGATTTATTTGATCCCCTTTCTTTTTCTGTCTGGGCCACAAATGATTGTTTCTCTTTGACTCAAAGAAGCCAAACTTGACATTTTTATTTCTGTTTATATTCTGAATTTTTTATTTTTACTTTGAGCATTTATTGCAACAAAGTTCATAAATGTTGTTAATTTTGTGAAAATCTTTTGTTTTGACATGCAAAAAAGGTACAAATAATCAATTTGATGTAACTTTTCTACACTTATGTTCAAATTATTAAAATGGTTTCTCTTTCGATTTATTTATTTATTTAAAAACTTATAGACGATAAATCCACTTGAGATTAAACATTTTTGAGTGGGTCCTCTTACATTACAAAAAATTAAAGAAAGATGCAGATCCAATAAGCAAAAAGACAAATCTGAAACATTGATCAAAAGTATAAACAAACAAACAAATAAGTAAATAAATAAATAAATAAATACATCTTGCTATGGTGCATCTCAAATTAGGGATGCACCAATACCGATACTGGTATCACTGGTATCCTAAAAGTTAACCGATACCAACGCAGTTGCTTGAAAATGGCTTCACTGTAACTTGTCATTTCTGTTCACCTAATATTTTAGTTTTGTGATTATTTCTATTCATATATTTTACTTCTTATCTACCTCACAGTCTTTTCCTGTTGAAAGCAGAGAAGAAAATAAAATCTGTATTCCAAATCATTGCATTTTTTGTGTGGTAGAAGTATCGGTATCGGTAATCGGTATCGGTAATCTGTATCGGCGAATATTCAGATCCAAGTATCGGTATTGTATCGGTTTGGAAAAAAGTGGTATCATTGCATCCCTATCTCACATATCTATAGGCAAAAAATAATAATAATCTAAACATTTCTGAAAAACAACAAATAGCACATAGGAACATATAGATTAGGCGGGGGTTACCATAGATGCATAAAATATGATAGAAATGTGTGATCACCTTGTGAAACAAGATCTTTTTTGCCCGACACAAACATTCTAAAACTGTTTCCTTCTATAACAGTTGAACGGATTCATGTGTTGATCCTCACAGATCCATCAGCTTGGCTCAGCCGCCTAAGGGAGAGACCTCCGGCTGCAGACTGAGGAGAATGAGCTGGGAGGAATGGTGAGGCCAGAGTGGGTGGTCAACCCTCCCTGAGCTCTAATGAGTCTGACACATTTAGGCCGGCTCCTGAATGGACACACTCATTGTTAGGGAGCTGTTTATTTGTTGTTCTCTGTGGTGTCGCTTGACCCCTCTAGATGTTTATTGGAGGTGTTCGTGTTGCTCTGGGATTTTATGCTTCATTAGGAAATCCATGAACTCAGGGATGATAAACACGACCCGCTCCGCGCCCTCTGGTACCGCTGACCCTGACTTCTCTGCACCAACAACACTCCGCTGTGAAAGTGATGAGCGCTTGTATCGTCGCCGCTTTAATGGAACAAAAGTGCAACACTTAGGATTCATTAAGAACTGGAAGTGTTGATGTCAAATTTATTATTTCAACCTTAACCACATCAGATCAGAGCTGCATGTTCTGTCCTGAGTGAGGAACGTCAGTTATAAAATCCGCCTGATTCAGATCTACTAATGCTCTGTTTTAGTGGAAACGGCTGTCTAGTCAACAGAGTATTAAGATCACCTAAATGATACGTCTCACTCTGACCTTGTCTGTGAATGTCTGTCTTCTCAGGTATGTATGCAAAAAGGTCCTTCATGCCGGTGTCAAGACAACATTTATCTCTCTTTTCAAAAATCCCACAAGATTGTTTTGGGGTCATGTTGCAAAAAAGATGGAAACTAAAACAGTTTTAGCTTGATAAAAGGAAAAAAAGCATCACGTCATAAAAGAAAATCTTGTAAAACCTGTATTTTTCCTCTCTTCCCTTCAGGTCTGAGCATCTGCATGCCTGTGTTGTTCCTGATGTGAGATCATGTTTGAAATGCACCAATGATGTCATTCTATAGACGATTCCGAATCTCTGAACAGTCTCCCTGATAACCATTCCTGTTTTGTTGTGTTTGTGTGCGTTCGCTGTCTCTGCATAGCCGTGACATCACAGAGCCTTTGACCTTTTGACCTGGGAAGGCGTTTGTCTTCCACGGGGTAAACTGTGTGGTGATGATGTTTTCTTTCGCGACGGTGGAAGTTGTTGAGCCGCCTGCCTTCTGCTGCTTTGTTGTCTGAAAGAACAAGAAAAGATTCTTTGTAGGATGGAACGTTTATCTCAGCTCGGACCTGCTATCTGCTCAGCAGCAAGTATCTTTTATGTATCCACTTGCTTCCTGCAAAAGGACACATACCTCCATGTTCTCTGCACAACACAGATGAAAGGTCAGTTTTAAGTTATTCTCTGTTCCTCATCACAAACTGTAAAAGCTCAATGCATCTATTCTGAGTTTTGTTTGGTGGTTCTTCCTGAGTGTCATGCTGGTTGGAAGTCTGTCCAGAGTTTAGAAGATGTTTGATGAAGAGGATGTTGAAAACGTTTGCATCCACTGAGGATTTGGGACAGCAGTAGCTCAACAGGTTAAGCGGGTTTCCAGTAATCGGAAGGTTGCAGGTTTGATCCCGGCTCTGGACAGAGAATTCTGCTGTTGTGTCCTTGGGCAAGACACTTAACCCCCCTTGCCTGCTGGTGGTGGTCGGAGGGACCGGTGGCGCCCGCGCTCAGCAGCCTCCCCTCTGTCAGTGTGCCCCAGGGCAGCTGTGGCTACATCGTAGCTCATCACCATCAGTGTGTGAATGAGTGTGTGAATGGATGAATGATAGTGTAAAGCGCTTTGGAGTCCTTACTCTGAGAGGCGCTATACAAGTGTGGGTCATTTATCATGTCTTTTGGGAAATCAGATCACACTGCTCTAGAATTTTGTTTCCATCTTTAAGCTTCATTACAAATATTTAGATATTTGCTTTAACAACTTGCAGGAATTTGTTTATTTTATTTTTTCTATCAGAAAAATGTTCCTGGTTGGAAGACAATTGAGAGAGAGAGGAAAAAGAAAAACCATTGCTCTGTTAGTGTTAAAGGGAGACTAGACTAGGCAATTTTGTCTTGCTTTTAGCACCCCCTAGTGTCCAGCCCCTTGTGTCTTGTTTCCCGTTGTTAAGTGTTTAATTGGCTCACCTGCCCCTCGTTACCCTAGTCACCTGTTTCCCTGATTATCCTTGTGTATTTAGGCATTCTGTTCGTGCTTGTCTTTGTCAGACCCTCATCTTGTTTTCCTGTCATCCTGTCTACCTTTATTCAATAAAATAGTTCATTGCTAACCTGCATCCTCTGCCTGTTCTCCTGTGTTTTTTGTGTGTCCTTTCATCTCCACACAACGAAAGAAGGATCCAGCCACAAAGGACCCAGCGGTGAGCAGGTCAGAGTTTTTCTTTTATTGTTTCTCTGGTGAGCAAGTTGGGAAATATGAGATGGCATATTCCTATGGGTTCTCGGGTGGTCAGACTCACCTCTCCACAACTCAGATCACTCAGACCGTGCACCTGCCGCTGTACAGCGGTCCATGCAGGGGTGGACTGGGACAATAATTTGGCCCTGGCATTTTGAAGTGAGAGTGGGCCTTGTGGGAATGTCTGTGTCCTGTCCGCTGTCAGAGTGGGGAGGTTGTTTCGAGGAAACTACTTCGGTCCACCAGCTGTTGAAGGGGCAGGGGGTAACGGGTGGCCTTGCAACAATTTGTCTGTCTCTGGTCCACCAGGGTAGATGGCCACCGGGACGATGCCAGATATGCCAGATGGCCGGTCCACGTTGAGCACCTGCTGCTGTACCCAGAGGCCCCAGCTGCGTCGCTTGAAGAGTTCCTATACTCATCTGAGTTCCTACATGCTGAGTTCCTACCCCACCCTCTTTTTTTTGTTTAACTCCTGTTGTGGGCATTGGGAACCGCTTTTAGGTGTAGTGTGTGTGTGTGTGTGTGTGTGTGTGTGTGTGTGTGTGTGTGTGTGTGTGTGTGTGTGTGTGTGTGTGTGTGTGTGTGTGTGTGTGTGTGTGTGATGTTTCAATTTGAATTGTGGAATAGAATAGAAATAGTTTTCATGTGATGTTTGAAGATTTTGGGTGAGCTCCAGAAACTGAATTTTAAAGCCCATGCATTCGTGTTTGCAAGAGAAACGTTTCTTTTTTTTTTTATCAGAGAGGTATGTCTCTCTGCCTGTTGCCTGAGGACACTGGGAAAAATGAAATGTTTCTCTTGCAAACAAGAATGTATGTGCAGATGTCCATCATCTTTCTCATAATTCATTGGGCCATGGTAATCCAAAGGGGTTTGAATGAAGGCAAATGGATTTCTTTGGTTTCTTGAAGACATTTAACTTTTCATTCGAGGAGCGACTTTTGAGGGGGTAGGAAGAAGGGGTGTTTATCAATGGTTTCAGGTCAATAGTTTATAAGCCTGACTCCCATATTCCAGTCAGAACTGACAAAGCTCCTCATATGAAAAGCAAGATGTCTTCAAGAACCAAAGAAGTCCAGTTGCCTTTGGATTTTAGTGCAATTGGTTAATCAGGACTCTTATACTGAAAAAGAAAATCTCACTTTATATTTTCATAGGAAGAAAACAAACTAATTTTAAAAAATTGAATGACTCATTTCTTTTTCAATAATTGAAAATAAGCATTTCTTAGGCTTACGTCTATCGACTAACTCTCAGAAACAACAGTTAGCAGCGCTGCTGTACAGGATAGACCTTTTATTTTGTAAACTGGATCCAGATTATTTGAACAGAAAATTAAATCCAAATTGCATTAAAATGTTGCTTTATCTATTTTTTCATTCTCTTATCTGCCAGATTTTTTTTAGATCTCCTTTCAAATTCAACTAAGTTAGTCTTTACATTTGCATGAAGTTTTAATAATAAATAAAGAGAATCAGATTGGGAGTGACATGGATGTAATGTAACGCCTTGTGTGGGTGGATTATTGGCAGGTAATGATGCAGAATTGTTGCTGAGCTGCATGCAAAACTCACAAGAAGATGTTTTAAAGAATTCCACACTTTTGGTTTGAGTCTTAAGGACACACACACACACACACACACACACACACACACACACACACACACACACACACACACACACACACACACACACACACACACACACACACACACACACACACACACACACACACACACACACACACACACACACACACACACACACACACACACACACACACACACACACACACACACACACACACACACACACAATTATCTGATCTGTTCGTCTCCTCTCTGTCTACAGCTTCAGTCTTATCTGAGATCCTCTTTAAATCCTCTGGACACAAACGGATCCCAGCAATGAATTTACTGAATTTTCATCCATTCAACGTGATTACACTTTATCATGATGATGATGATGATGATGATGATGATGATTTGTGTGAGAGGAGTGAGGTAAAGGTTCAACTGAGCAGATTGAAAGTTTGAAAATGTTTAAGAGCCACTCTGTCTGCGGGTTTGTTTACCAAGCAGAGCCACGGGACAGGACAGGGCTCTCCGGCCTTATCAGGGACAGGAGGGGTTTTTGTGAATGAGACAATAATGAGGTGAGTTTGATAAAGCAGCGCTGTCAGGGTCTGCCCATTAGCTCCTCGATGGTTCCCTTTGATAAAGCGCATCCACCGGATTCTGGTCCGAAAACAACTTGATCGGTTGCATTTATCTCGGTTAAAAGGTTCTCCTTAGAAATATGCAAACTTATGAATACAATTAAAAGAAGTCACAAATCCCCTTTAATTCAAAAATATCAACATTTCAACTTTAAAACATAAAAACGAGAAATAAAAAGATAAAAAACTGCTGAATAATATATAACAGTTACATTTATAAGCATGTGATAATAAAGTGTTTCATGTTTCCTCACCAGCCTCTGACGGCGTGTAAAGACGCCTGGAACTGGTTACAGAGCCCCTCTGCGTGATTAGTTAACTCAATCAGCTGGTTGCTGCTCACACCAGCTGAAGGTGACATGCTGTGATAACCATACAAGCTGCTGTTTCCAAACACATGGTTATAATGTCCGACTGCGACGTTATAAGGCGCAGGAGCCGCGCCGCAGAGCTGCCCGTTCCGCACCAGCACCGGGACCGCCACCCGCCGCGGCGCAGCCGGAAACCCCGCCATCTCCAGAGACTTGTCCTGCCTTTGTCGCTTGCATTTGTACCTTCTGTTCTGAAACCAAATTTTGACCTGCGTGGAGGTGAGTTTGAGCACGTGCGCCAGGTGTTCTCTCTCCGGGGCGGACAGGTAGCGCTGCTGGCTGAACCGCCTCTCCAATTCGGAGACCTGCGACTGAGAGAAGAGGACGCGGGGCTTTCTGCGCGGCCTGGCTTGGCCTTTCGAGTCGCTGTGGCCGTCTGGTGAAGAGTCGGAACCGATTATCTCTGCGCGAGGGAAGGAGGGAGAGCACATTTAAACACACGAATTCACTTAAATTATTTTTCAGAGTTATGCATGGTCGACAGAAAATGTTACATCCAGTCGTTTCAGGTCTGATTCACGCACTTTGGATGAAAATAGCCATTCTTGAAGTAAAAATGCACTTCCGAAAAAAATTTAAAAATTAAGTTTTCAATATTGTATATTTGAAGCACCATCTTTTAGGTATGTTTAAAATATCAGTCATCAGTTTGAATCGATGTCGTGAAAAAATAAAACGTCGCTACTAACCTCTGAAGCCGAAAACCAGCCGTGCACTCTATGATCTGACAGTTTTTGTATATTAAGATTAAGAAAAAGTCTAAATCCTCCTACATGCTTGCGCATTAAACCCTCATTAAGCGAGCCATTTTCAAAGTAAATGCATTCAGGACGCGTTCCAATGGCAACTTTGCAGAGCTGCGTGCGTAAATGCGCACCAGACTCGGGAAAATAATCTCTGCAGCACTGCGCACATCTCACCTTTTTTATGCATCTCCTCTTCCGCTGCAGAGTTGGGAGCACCGAGCCTCTCCTGCATACTACTGACGCACTGTTCGGACCGACAGTCATAAAACTCGTCGGTTCTGGATGCATCGCGCGCAAACTGATGGTGATGCATCGGAACAACTTGATCATTCATCAAAAATTCACTCTCGTAGTCATCGTGATAATCCAGCCGCAAAATATCCTTAACAGAAAACGGCGTGGATGTGGTGGAGCTGGGATGCATCCTGACCCTGGCTGATCTTTACGCACCACGCGCTGCTGCTTCTGCTGCTGATGATGATGGTGGTTGTAGTGATGGTGGTGTTCACCAACTGATGAATGAGAGGCCTCTGAAGATTTAAATCATTCAAGGGTCCAGCTAATGAGCAGATAGATATCAGTCTGGGCCAACACCCAGACCATGCGCGCACACTTCTGCGTCTCCAGGTCTTCTCACCTTACAGGAACATCCGCCATCCTGTCAGTGAGAGAGACAGAGTCATAGCTTTTGAAAATGCATGAGACCCACGACATTTTATTTTGCATTTGTACAAACTTATTTTTACTGTACAGTTGTTTTAAAGAGGATATTTATTATGAAGCCCCAAATATCTCCAAACCACTTTCCAAATATTTTTATAGTTCAAAAACTAAACTAAATAGATTAATTTACATTTTATTTATTTTTATTTGAGTTACAAATAAGTCAAACCGCCCAAAACGTTCAGCACAAGTAAAATCAAACTTTTTTATTTTATTTTTTTTAAACAACTGTAATTAAAAGCTAGTGAAACAATGAAACTCACTCAAAGAGCTGAATTCCCTCCGAACCAGACGTGTTGTGATCCGGTAAGCCTCTCGGGTCCTCGGGGGTTGAGTGATCTGGGCTGATGTCCAACAGCTTCACCACCGACATTGTTTTCCAGCCTTGTTATTAGCTTTCTCAGGCCACAACAAACAGTAACTTTACACCTGATGTTGTGGAAGTGGAGAGGCAGCGGCGCCAGCCCGCGATGCTTGACTGAGGCCAAGGCGCGCTTCCACAGGGACGCATGGACAGACAGACGCGGCCTGTCCAACAGGAGCTCCATAACTCGGTTTATAACTCATATACTGTTAAATGAGGAACGACCTATTCATGATGTACTTCTTATTTAGTTAAGCGGTGATTTAATTCTGAGTGCAAGGCTGCATTAATATCCCGAGGCTTTGATGGAGTAAAGTGAGTTCTTTCCTGATTTTCTCCCCTCCTCTTCATCCACCCTGACTCATGAAAGCTGTAGTTAACACGTCAGATCTAAACCCCTTTAATATTAACATTTTAACTGTTTTTATTCCTTAAAGAACAAAAGTTAAGGTTATGGCATTAAAGAGAGAAAGTTAGATTTTCATTAAAAAATAAATTAGAAAATCAGGGATGAAAATCTACTAGAGATCCATTAAAATCCATTAGGATTTAGGAACATAATTAGACCTTTTGTTGTTTTTAATAGTTTTATAATTCATTTGTTTAATAACCCACTTTCAATATATACTCTTTGAATTTAATCAGAACTCTTGACTCGAATAAACGTCACCAATTATTCACACTAAGCCAAAAGAAAAGCCAACTACTATTTAATGCATTTTCTTTAATATTTTCTAGGTTAGTGTCCAATGGGACAAAGCGACTAAAGAGCTTCTAATTAAACGGTTCAAATGTCATTATTCTTATTTTTAGAGAATTCACAATATCTCCAAAGTTTCTAGAATCCTATATTTATAATGGAAAAGGTTGGATTACAGATTATTTGAGGTGTTTTCCTTTCTTTCTTTCTTTCTTTCTTTCTTTCTTTCTTTCTTTCTTTCTTTCTTTCTTTCTTTCTTTCTGTTTTTCTTTCTTTCTTTCTGTTTTTCTTTCTGTTTTTCTTCATGTCTGTCTGTCTGTCTTTCTGTCTTTCTTTCTTTCTTTCTTTCTGTCTAACAGCGTTCTTAGATTGGCACCAAGATTGCTCTGCTGAATTTAACCACACACACGCTGAGAGAGAGAGACCCCAGAAGACTGAAATAGAAATCAGAAAAATCTGAAGATGTTTAAATACAAAGTTCCACATGTTTAATTAAAATGACCTTTATGTTGGTCCTGATTTATTACGTTACGTTAAATTATAAACCTTAATGCTCTAATTAATTAGAAAATGCAATGGGCATAATTCATTGCTTTCTTTCTTGGTGTGGGTGTTATGATGTTAGATCTTGGTAATTTGTTAAAAAAACAAGTCATTAAGAAAATGTTGCAACAAGTAAAAGGCCAAGCAGAACAAAATTCTGGAACACGTGGAAAAACTGCAGCATCAACTCTGAGTAAACGGATGAAATCACTCCTGCAGCAGAATAACTCACATGTTTACAAAATAATACAGACAAATGATCTGAATCATGTTGTAATTTTTCATATATTACCTAAATGTATATATATATTTATTTATTTATTTATGAGTGTGATGGGTAAAATAAATACCTACTTTTGCAAAAGCCAACTTTGTTGTGGTTTAACGTGCTATTCTCTTTTATTCAAACTGTTGCCCTCCATTAAAACAGATTCAGTTAAAGTACACAGAATTATCCATTTTTATCTTTTCTTTGTGAGAGTAAGAAAACACTGAAATACCTACAAGCTCACCGTGTTGTTTATCAGTTTGTTTGTTTTAGTTAAAAATCACCAATTCAAAAAAAGGACGATACAGAGCAAAACCAACATGGAGGCTCGCACTCCCTTTTAACACCAGTTTCAAATTACTAGCTGAATATTTTTTAATTTTTAAAGCAAAGACTTTCTAGCTTTCACCTAATTTTGTTTAATTTTCATCTTTCAGTTTCATGTAGTTTAAAAATGCCTCAAAACACAATAATGAGCTTCTCATTACTGGTAAGTGACACAAGCTTATGAGAAACCCGAACTTCTAACATGCAGGTGAAAAAAGCTCAACAGTTTGACACCCAGGGCAGTTCTGCTTGTCCATTGTGATGGGTCAATTACCTGATCACTGCACTGGTGGTGACTGAAGCCTTAAAGCAATGCTGCTGCTGACTTTCTGCAGCTAATGTTGCTTAAACCCTTTAAAGCCTTTCCTGTTGATTGCACCAAATGTCTCCTCGCTGTAACATTAGCAGTGCATTTTACACAAATACCCCTAATTCATCATACAGTAAAATAGGAGGCTGATGGCAGGTGAAAGGATGGAACGAGTCGACTTACAGGGAGGGAAACTGAACCCGGCCTTCCTTAAGTCAATAACGATCCTCATCAAACTAATGTGACAGTCATGTTTTCATTCAGGAGAGGAGAAAACCTCAGCTGTAGTTCAGGTATGAGATATAGATATCTCCCTCTCAACATGTGTAATGCGGTTTAAGCAGACGCCTGGTAAAGCTGAAAGATGCTGCTTTAGACAGAAGGGTGCGCCAGAGGTTCGAAATTAATGCAGACTGAAGATAATGAAAAGCATGGATCCTGAATTTTGGATAATCTAATTTTAATGTTTCACTACATTAAAATCAACTGCAGGGTCAAGGAAAATATAAATTGAAACAAAAATTTGATTTTATTTTTTGTTTTAACAAAGTGTTTCTTCATGTACCTGCATATGCTTTTACTTTGAAAGTTCAATGAGTATTCTTTAATTCATATTCGCCCTCCAACACTTACAGGTGCTGGCCAGTAAATTAGAATATCATCAAAAGGTTGAAAATATTTCAGTAATTCCATTCAAAACGTGAAACTTGTACATTATATTCATGCAATGCACACAGACCAATGTATTTCCGATGTTTATTACGTTTAATTTTGATATTTATAGGTGACAACCAATGAAAACATCAAATCTGGTATCTCAGAAAATTAGAATATTCTAAAGGCCAATGAAAAAATGTTTGTTTCTCTAATGTTGGCCAACTGAAAAGAATGAACATGAAAAGAATGTGCATGTATAGCACTCAATACTTAGTCGGGGCTCCTTTTGCCTCAATAACTGCAGTAATGCGGCGTGGCATGGACTCGATCAGTCTGTGGCACTGCTCAGGTGTTATGAGAGCCCAGGTTGCTCTGATAGTCGTCTTCAGCTCCTCTGCATTGTTGGGTCTAGCGTATTGCATCCTCCGCTTCACAATACCCCATAGATTTTCTATGGGGTTAAGGTCAGGCGAGTTTGCTGGCCAATCAAGGACAGGGATACCATGGTCCTTGAACCAGGTGCTGGTGGTTTTGGCACTGTGTGCAGGTGCCAAGTCCTGTTGAAAGGTGAAGTCTGCATCCCCATAAAGTTGGTCAGCAGCAGGAAGCATGAAGTGCTCTAAAACTTCCTGGTAGACGGCTGCATTGACCCTGGACCTCAGGAAACAGAGTGGGCCAACACCGGCAGATGACATGGCACCCCACACCATCACTGACGGTGGAAACTTTACACTGGACCTCATGCAACGTGGATTCTGTGCTTCTCCGCTCTTCCTCCAGACTCTGGGTCCTTGATTTCCAAAGGAAATGCAGAACTTGCTTTCATCAGAAAACATAACTTTGGACCACTCAGCATCAGTCCAGTCCTTTTTGTCCTTGGCCCAGGCGAGACGCTTCTTGCGCTGTTTCTTGTTCAAGAGTGGCTTGACACACGGAATGCGACACCTGAATCCCATGTCTTTCATGAGTCTCCTCGTGGTGGTTCTTGAAGCGCTGACTCCAGCTGCAGTCCACTCTTTGTGGATCTCCCCCACATTTTTGAATGGGTTTGTCGTCACAATTCTCTGCAGGGTGCGGTTATCCCTAGAGCTTGTACACTTTTTTCTACCACATTTTTTCCGTCCCTTCGCCTGTCTGTTAATGTGCTTGGACACAGAGCTCTGCGAACAGCCAGCTTCTTTAGCAATCACCTTTTGTGTCTTGCCCTCCTTGTGCAAGGTGTCAATGATTGTCTTTTGGACAGCTGTTAAGTCAGAAGTCTTCCCCATGATTGTGGTGCCTTCAAAACAAGACTGAGGGACCTTTTAAAGGCCTTTGCAGGTGTTTTGAGTAAATCAGCTGATTAGAGTGGCAGCAGGTGTCTTCTATATTCAGCCTTTTCAGAATATTCTAATTTTTTGAGATACCAAATTTGGAGTTTTCATTAGTTGTCACTTATGAATATCAAATTTAAATGTAATGAACATTGGAAATACATTGGTCTGTGTGCATTGCATGAATATAATGTACAAGTTTCACGTTTTGAATGGAATTACTGAAATATTGTCAACCTTTTGATGATATTCTAATTTACTGGCCAGCACCTGTATGTTACG